CTCTACTCCAGGCACTGACAGCTTTGTGAGCATCATCTTTTAGCTTCAGAATAACTCTATGAAGTAAGCACTAGTCTTTTTCTCTTTACAAATAGAGAAACTGTTATGTGGTGAAGAAATGCTAAGTCATTGAGTGAGGTTATATTAATCTAGTCTGATACGTGATTTGAATGAAGAACATATATATTTGATTTGAATTCATGAAAAGTGCAACTTTGTGTGCATCACAGAGGGAAGTAGTTAGTTTCCTCTGTCTCTATTTTTCTCTTTGATGTATGCTCAATGAGTTTCTTTATACACTATAATTATTCTAGCACAACCCATTTGATATGTTGGAAGATATATCTATTTAAAATATAGGAAAGTCAAATATTTTAATCAACTCAGAAATTATTTGGATATATAAATGCCATTTGTAATAATATATTTCACATGCATATATATAGTACCAGTAGTGAAAGCAGATAGCATTCACATCACAAGTATATGACCTATTTGAACATAAAATTATTGAAACTTTCTTGGGAAATTTACTCTAGATTTTATTGAATGTCACATGAATATTTATCCTACTTTTTATTGAATTTTAAAGACAGGCATTTTCAGTTTGACAGCTCAACTATGCCTCCCATCTACCAATAAAATTATTAATTATTATATGAGGTCTAGGTGAACATAAAAAAGAAATTAAATTGCTTAGCCATAACAGAAGCACAGACTGCATGATCTTATTAATTATTATGCCAATCCAGAAATCCAGCTTGAACATTTTAGGCAAAAGCATTCAAATGAAGATGTGATATCAAATAATTATCAACAAATAGGTGACAATGCAATTATTACAACTTACTAATGTTTCTATGACAAAGTCTTCAAACCAGCTATATCCTTGGAAAAGGTCCAAAATCCCCAAGCAGAATTTGTCATACATTCTGGATAAATTTTCCACCACATAGCCCAAAAAATGTCTCATAAGATAATGCAAGACTCACCATTTTTCTATTATAACAATATTAATCAACATCAGAAGTGGACATTCTTATACTTCCACTAACACATGATTAGATTTCTTCAGGAAAAGCTACATTTCCCAGTAGTTTAGCTTCTTTAACTGCCAATTATCTAATTGCCTAAGCCCAGTAGATAACAGTAGAGCTTGATCATGAGATTGTGAGTCATGTATGTAAGATAAGCTTTACCTGAGCTCCGCAGATCCATGAATGAACTTCATTATATCCAGAAACTCGCTAAAACTGCTCTATATGCTCAAACAATACTATTTGGCTATGGAGAAATGTTTATGAGCTCACATATTGTGACAATGGCTAATTTTGATGAGGTGGTGGAGAAAAGAAGTTCAGTTTTGAGCCTTTACATGAAACATTTGAAATAATTTATTTATGAATTACATGGGTAGCTAAAATTATTTTAAAATTAGACATAAATGTACATTTTCAAGTTTGTCTAAGACTAGGGGCAGTGTTTTAAACTTAAGCTAAAATATATGAATACTTTATATGTTTACACTTGAGAGAAAAGGATATATTATTAGATGTAACTGAAGCATTATTTTCACTCTATTGTTTGTTTATTAAATCAATTGGACAAATTTAAATATTAAAATCAATAATTGGGAGCACTATTATTTATATATCTATATCACATCATTTGTGTTGCTGTTATATGGATAAGAATTATAGTAAGCTAAACCTTACCATTGGCTGACTTGTTGCTATAGGAATCAGGAGTCTACATAGAAGTCCTACTTATGCTATAAATGTCACTCATCCAAAGTGTCAAATTTATAAAGCAGATGCTATAATAAACAAATCAAGGATGTATCAGAGAAATTAGTAATAAAACTCACTAAAAGTTTATGATTTAAATAAGGAAAATCTGAACATTTGAAAAGTTACACAAGACTTAGAAAAATTATTTTAGAACTAAAATTATGGGATAAATATTGGATATGGATGGAATTTAGGTTGGTATATATCAAGCACACCTCAACATTAGCTGCTGCTCTGGACACCATCATCTGACTCTGGATTTCCAAGTGCCAACCTAGAGCAACAAAATATAATTCTTTCAGATCCAGGAAACTTATGTATCACTAAATGTAGTCATTCCACGACAAGTCAATACATCTTTCCCATCAATAACAATTCACAGGACTATGTCTTTTCGAAAATAGTGTAGTCAGTGGCTCATTCATAGTTATCGAACAGTAATGTCATCTTTTATGCTTTCAATGAGGTGACTATATTAGTATGAAATCTCATTTAGTATTCATAAATAAGAATGATTTGCAATTCATAAAATACCAAAGAGATGAATAGACTTCTACCTAGTCTCTTTCTGCATCTCGCTGGAATCTCTTTGGGAAGAATGGGTGGTATTATCATCATCATCATCAAAATATAAGGGAATATATGTGCTGTCTTGGGCTTTCTCACACCCTCACTACCACTGTGAACAACTCATATTGGCTGCTTCAATTTATTCAGTGCTTACTACATGCCAGAACTTTACTTAGAGTATTAGTTCATTTAGGCCTTCTAACAATCCTCTTTTTTCAGAGTATGATGAAACTTTGGCTATTCACCTAGATAGTAAATGACAGATCTGGGATTTGCACCTAGGTGGGGTCAGATATCATGATTAATATACACTACTTAACACTGTGACACATTAAGCATCACACTCACAATAAACTCTGAAGATCAAGGGGGAAATGATACCTCTGAGGATATTTAATTGACCATCCCTTTATCTGTCGTTGTATCTTACTGATATCAAACTCTTAATATCACAATATTGATAAAATTAATGATGCGCCCATCTAGTTTCCTCTAGTAGGCATTCTGATTCATATAATTAATCTCTGTATTAAAAAGTAAAGTGCCTCACACATAGTAAACCCTCTCTATATAATCCTCTATACATTTATGTTGGCTATATGAATTCATTGTTGACAGAATTGAGAGAGAAGTCACACATCAAATTAACAAACTTATAATTTGCTAAATAATTTTCACAAAATTGTTTTTTTCATAAGGTTGATCTTTTAACTGCATTTATGAAAGTGACCATTTAGACATTCTATTTTAAAATCCATTCACTCAATCACATACATATTTTTTAATTTTACTGGAAAAGATATAATTTAAAACTATTTGAGGAACCCTTATGAATTTTGTTTGTTCTAACATAAATAGTTAGCATGAAATTATTCTTTTATGATAATGGTTATATATATGACTGTTTTATTTGCTTTTTACTGAGTTGATTCAAAATTTTCAAATTCTCTACACACATATGTTGATTTATCTAGATGGTAGTAAAGAGTCTGGGAATAGAGACAAAACCCTCCTAACTATTTTTGTTTACATGATGACAAACAAAGTCATATTTTTATTCTTAAACTGAATAAAACTATTTAGAGACAATCTAAATTTATTCATTTAAATTCACAGAAATGACATTTTGATAAGTCATCAAAAGATCACATTTTCTTCCCTTTCCCTTCCTTTGCTTTCAGTGTTGATGTTACACTTCATTTTGACATTTATCTTGTGGAAGTTTAAAGTACTACTGTTTATGTAATACAGCAATAATAATACTAATAACTGTCAAAATAATCACTACTACATATAAGATGTAAAATTTTATGCTTTAACTTGTGATTTAGCCTTTCATATTTACATTTAAACTATATACATATATATACTTACAATAATGACATAATAAATTAATTTAGAGGTAGGCAGTAATGTGTTTAAATCAAAACAAGGATTCTTGGAGGAAATCAATGTTAAAACTGAACATCATTTTTCTTCCATCATTTTATCTGTGATTTAAAAATATCTTCCCCACCCAGAAAAGTTAAAATGTGAAAACTACTTTTTCAATACACAATTATGAGTTTTTAAAATGCTAGCATTTCCTTAAAACAATGAATTAGTTGGGAACGGTTTTCCTTGAATGCATAAATAACCTTTCTCAGTGACTTAAATCCTGAGTAATTAAGCCATGATTGTTATTTACACCTACTGATTATCAACAATAGAATAGTATCTTCATAATTACCTTGGAAATAAGATCAAGCTAGAAATACAGAAGAATATAGCAGCTATATAACTTAAAGGAGAAGAAATGCTGTTTTTCACAATTAAGATTCACACTAGGAATAATGCTGATTTATTTTATTGATTCTTGGAAGAATGAGTGGGTCTCTGAATTTTCTTCAAGATTTGCACAAAGTAAATGATCAAGAAACCTGTTAAAAATGTCATCTGACTGAGTGAAAATTATGACTTCCCAACCTGAACATTTAACTCTTTAAGCTGAGCTATTCTTCAACTAAAATGTTCTTACATGTCATTCCATTTGCTGTTTAACTCTTGGCCTAAAACTTTATAAAATAGTTTTCATATGTAAAGTATCAGAGACTTAACAAGGGAACATTAAAAGCAGAGTTTTATAGGATTAGATTTACCCATATGCTCCCTTTACACTCATACCACATTTCTTACTTCAGTGTTACCTTAGTGTATCTTGAGTGCGTTAAGTAGAAATAAATGCAAACTCTACCTTTGCTTGCTCCTGGTACAAGAAAATAATGTAACATTCTCACTTTGCTTTGCCTTGTATAAGAAACAAGAGACTAAGTGAGTTCATCCTTGACAAGTGTCACCTCCCCCTCCCACCTCAATCAACACCACTAAGGAGCCCTTTGCAGATTCAGCCAGTATCTATCCCATTCTCTAAACAAACCCTTTAATTTGGTTTTAGGCCAAGGAAAGGGGTAGGGGGTAGGGAAAGGAAGCAAAAACTAATAAATAAAAGGACAACATAATGAGGCATAGCCTGCCAACATCAACCTACATATAAGCCAGAGGAGATTTATGATTGTCTTCCCCAGCGGGGAGTGACTAACGCGCACACATACTGACCATCACCGTAAAGAGGTAAAGAGAGAGTGAAATGGCTCAACGTACACACACCCCGCTCCATACCGGGGACGAGTCTCCGAGCTGCGGCTTGTGCTCTCGGAGGGCCAGGCTGAAGCTGACCGCCCCTACGGCCACGCTGGACACCCCCAGCCCTATCTCCAATACAGAGAGCACCAAAAGGCTCCCAATAATCTGGCCGCTGGTGCACATCCTTTCTCGGTCATCATTCCTTCCAGATCAGAGAGGAAAACCAACCATCCACCTTCTTTCTTCCACTATCCTCTTTACCCCTCCGCCCCCCACCAGACCCCAAAACTTTTCTTTCTTCACCAGCGAAACATAATCCACGACTGCATTTTTTCAGAACCGGAGACTCTCTTCCCTGACTCGGCCAGAGGCAAAGGAGCAGTTCCACCCCCTGGCTCGATCAGACCGGGATCATACGTAAAATGGTTTTCCTGGGGTCAGCGGCTGGAGTCCAGGAAAGGAGAGAAAACCCAGTAGTAGGTCTTTCAAGGAGCCAGAAACCTGGAGCAGCTAGGGAGCTCCGAGCCCCGCTAGAGAGGCGCTGTCCAGAGTTCTGCCGCGTACCAAGTCTCCACAGGGAAATCCCGCTCTCTCCTTAGCCTCCCGACCCTTTCAAGCTCCCCTTTCTTTCCTAGCCAAGGGAATGAGCTTTGCTTCCGGGAGATTCAAAGCGTAATTGCTCAGAGCCTGTCTTTCCGTCTCCCTCTCATTTCTTCTTTGTTTTCGTGGTAACACAAAGTGCTTCTGCGAGTCCCAGGTTCCCCAGGCTGAGCGGGTGGATGATATTCAGCACCACGCTCCTCTGTGTTGCTGTGTCGCCAGAAAAAGCGACCTTGTCTGATGGCCTCTTTCCGTCTGGGTTTCTTCTCCCTCGTCGTCGTCCTCTTCCTCCCCCTCTCTCTTGATCTGATTCTCTCTCATTGCAGTGACCTCATTGGGATTTAAGAGGTTGGTAGAGGGGGGAAACGCTTAATCTATTTGTGTGTCTAGAACCAATACTCTTGCCTCGCACTTGGCTAGCAGCCTCGGGGGACTCTAACCACAGCGATCCTCCGCATCTCCCCTACTCACTCCCTTCTGGGCATCTATCCAGATAGGAGGGGAGGCGATGTCTACGTCAACATGGGGTTCATTCTGTGTAAAACTTTCTTCTGCGTGTACGTACGGCTGAGGGGGGTGGTGAGGGAGTGAGCAAGGTTGGAGGGGGGTGTGTATTGGGCAAAGAAAAGCAGAGAGTGGAGGGGATGGAGAAAGGCCAGATCCTAATTTACTAGGATTCTGAAGAAACCTTACCAAGGAACTACTCTCTAGAAAAACTAGATTCAAATCTGCTCCGAAGGATTATCCACACCCAGATGACTTTCATGAATTGGGGAGGGGGTGGAGAAGAGGGAAAGGAGGAAGCAGCAGTTTGCTGGGGCCGGCTTCCTACAGAGACAGCAGACCCTTTTGTTTACCAACATCATCCCCACCCCCTTTTAGTGCTCTTACAGGTTCTGGGATACATTGCCAGAGAGAGCATTATTGGGACCTTGTGTTCTCACACAAAATCAAGAGGTGTGTACAGTTAAGTACTACACTGGAAAGAGAATTCTTCTTTTAGTCTGGTTCATTGCACAATATTTATGACAGTCTGCACTTGTTACAATCACTGGGGCTAGGGCCAAATTTGGCTTATGTATTTTTGTGTTGCAGTCTTTGATCATAAGGGACTCTAGACTTCTGAGAATCGCTGTGCTTTATTTTCCTTTATAGGTTCCTGATTTTAAATCATGAAATATCACGAGGCATTTTATCAAGGTAATACAGGATATTGGAGGATACAAAGGGGTATGGGGTTTTGGGATATCTACCTCAACAACTGGGTTCCCTAGTTCAAGACAACTGAAGGAAAACAAGACAAAGGAGGTTACATTAGGACACATAGCACAAATCCAAGGTATTTTGACCTCTGAATAGAGAGGCACTAAGTACAATGCAGGCACCTCTGTAATTAGAGACTTCTTTTAGTTTTCAGTCCTAACCTGAGAAAACAAAAATTGAGTGATACAAAATCTGTAGCATATGTTTCACTTTCTTTTGATTCAGAGCTTGTTTCATAGCTTTAACTCCACTTTCACACTATAATTTATTTTCCTTATGAAAATACTTTATATTCTACATACAAAAATTTTGAGTCTACTTTCTTTAAAAATCAAAATGCAAGGACAAAAGAATTATAAAGTATTCAGTATTCTTATAAAGTATTCTTATAAAGTATTCAGTTACTATGATATTTTGAAACTCATTTGTAGTAAACAGTGAATTCACTTTCCACTTTTGAAAAACTCAGTCTACCAAACACCCACTTGTTAGCATCACTCAAATAGTTTTTTACTTTAATGAAGTAATTTTTAATTAAATATTGCAGAAGTCTAAATGATCATATATACATATATACATATATACACATATATATATACATATAAATATATATACACATATACATATATATGTATATGTACACATATATATATAAAATGAAGGACCTATGTTGTCTAACTTTTGGGTTGTCTTTATTCAATGCTTTTTTAAAAAACAAAATTCTTCTTCTCCAATAGATAGAGGCTAATGAGCTATAGTAACTGCTAAAACAGGTTAATACAGACATAGGAAGGAGTACAATTTATAGAGAGGGAAATTAACTTGTAGGTAATATATAGGTAGGGTTAATATAGAAGAATTTCAGAGACAATAAGTAATTTATGTATTATGAGTGAATTTTCACCTCCATATGCAGTGGCTAGAAAATGTTTATTTTAAAATCCAATGCCTAGCCATACACCTGAATAAAACCAACCTTACTCTATTTCTCTGGTACAAAGAAATTTGGATTTTGAAAACCCAAAGTTTTTGAAAATTATATGTACATAAAGGAGTTACAGTCATACTTATTTATAAATGACTAGCAATGTAATACACTAAAGATAAATATTTATAGTCTGATAGAGCAGTAGTCTAAAAAAATCTCAAGTTTGCCACCTGCTGGTCTGTGTAAGACAGAATGAACATAAATGTGTGGGTAACCTCAAAATGATTCTTATTAAACTTGTTAGCTATTAAAAAATCTTTCATAGTTGCTTTTCAAGGAATTAAATAGGTAAAGTTCTGAGATTACACCAATAACTAAAGTTCTAAGATTTCACCAATAAGTAAAATTCTGAGATTCTCATATACCATTCACCCAAAAAAGATTTAGAGAAATTTCAATATGTGGTTAAAAGGAAAATTCAACATTTGGTAAACAAATAATACCTGTCTTATTAGAATGAGGTAGGTTGAAAAAAATGATCAATTCAATCATTATTATAGGACTAGTAACAGAAAAGTTAGAAGAAATTAATATTTAATTGTGAGATCCAATTTCAACTGTTCAAGCTATTTTAAAGTGAATTTGCACGGTGACCCCAGATACTAAATAAATGACCAATGCAGTGTACAAAATTATGGAAAAAAATTATAAGAGTGACAAGTCTACTTAATATTTTAATATTCTTACTTTTGTTTGTTAGAAGTAATTCCAACTAAAGACTTAGGTAGGATATTATATAGTGATTACATTTTTAAAAAGGAAGATTTCTCTTATTTAAAGATCAAAGAAGCAGTGATAACTTTAACCAGAATGTATCCTTGCCTTTTTTGAAACTCAGTAATAATATAGTTTAGAAGTCTTTATCTAATGATAACATTGGTGTTTAAGAAAATTAATTTGAAAATGTGTAGTACTTGGTTATTTTAACTAAGTACTTTTTCATTTATCATCATTTTCCACTTATATCTAAAATGTGTCTTTATTATTAATGAATTTTAAATATTTCAAAAGACCCAAATGGTGTATTTTAAACAGATTTTTACTTTATAATAGAGTGTAGTTATTTCGACTCAATTAAGGAGTAATTGAGATCACCTACTCCTATAATACACATAATATTCAGATAAACAGTGTTCAAATACTATGCAGTGTAAAGGCACTGCAGAACATTAGTCTCTGGAAGAAAAGATGTAAAGATTCTCGGCCCTGCTTTACTGACTACAGGCATTTAACAGACTGTCTTGCAAGAAATGGAGTGCCACGCAAAGCATGTGGTATTACAGAGTTTATGGGATAAATAGCAGAATTCTTGAAGGATAAGGTGCCTACATTTAAGGGCAGAGTGGTGGAGAAGGTATTTTAATGGAGAAAGAGATCAATAAAGTTCTATAGAGATTATGTAATTGTGTGCTCAATTTTAAGCTACACTATCTAGGAGTACTACTCCACAAGGCAGAAATAGAATAACTAGAGAATCAAAACCTGAAGGCTGCAAGAAGTCTGAGAAATGGGAGCATCACAATAACCAATACAAATCCTTGTTGACAGCTCAGCCTTCAACATGAATACAGTTTAGGTACCTAGTAGTGGTGCTAAACTGATCTTGGGATAAAGGTAACTCTTAAGAACTAAAACTATTTTAAAACAGGCCTGCAAAGCATCAGTCTGTTCGGTAAGTAAGGTGACAAAAACCACAATGTGAAATTCATATTACTCTCTATCCAACTATAAAATACGTGAGGCAGGAAAATCTAACCCATAACTAGGACATAAGAAATATTGTAGTTAATACCTTATGACCTCTATTAGAAATATTAAAATCCTTACAAATCTGAGATGAAAATGAAATGAGAATGAAAGATGAAGAGAAAAAATTAATATAAAAGGAAAGCAGAAGACATAGTAAAGAACAAAAACTTATAGAAGAATATTACACATCTAAAATGAAAAATAGTTCATCTGAGATCAAGAACAGATAATGAAGAAAAGATTAATGAAAATTAAATTTTTAAATTAAAAATTTAAATCACAGAGAAAAAAATCACAACCAATTTTAATCTCAAAGAGCAAAGACAAAACAAAAACAAAAACAGGTATTTAGTACCCCATAGTACAATATCAAAAAGAATTAAAAGCAACCAAAATATTTGATTTGGGGCCAATTATTTTCCAAATGTGGAGAAAATTACAAATCCACAGATCAAGAAGCTTGATAAATTTCAAGCACAATAACCACAAATAACTAAGATAAACATCTAAAGCATATCACAATCAAATTACTAAAATCCACTCATAAGGAATAAGTATTAAGAGCAGTCAGATTCTAGGCTTATATCAAAACTCTATCTACAGCAACAAATTTAATTTATCATCTCTACTCATTTTACCTGTTCAAATCTAAATAAAAAAATAATAATGTGAAAATATTCAGAGTAATAATGCGTCATGTATATTTTTCTATGTATTATTTATACATATATAACTTACATGCATATTATATATGTAGATAGATATGGATTATATCTTTTCTACATTTTTTAATTTTACATAATTCTTCATTTTGTGCATTTTCCCATCTCAGTTGTAATCTCCAAGGGCTTCCCACAACCAATTCACCCATGTGCCATCACCACAGCCCAGTGCACTCTTCCCACCCAAGTTCTGATCCCATTCCCCTTTCCACCCTTATAAAATGTCTCTGTTTTATAGTTGTTCATTGTTTTTGTTTTTACTCTATTACATTGGTCTCTCTCTCACTCTCTTCCCTCTGATCCTTTATGCTCCTGCTATCAGCGAAAGCATCTGTATTTTTCTTTTTCTTTCAGGCTTATTTCACTAAGCAAGATCCCTTCCAGCTCCATCCATGTTGCTGCATGAGTTTATCTTTTTTGATTGCTGAGTAATATTCCATTATGTATATGCACCACATCTTTTTAATCCAATCATCTATTTTGGGGCACCACACCCTTTGAATCCAGTGATCTATTTTGGGGCATTGAGGTTGATTCTACATATTGTAAATAGAGCAGCAATCAACATGGAGGTGCAAGTATCCTTTTGAGTCAATGTTTTTGTGTCCTTTGGGTGTATACCTTGTAATGGGATTGCTGGGTCATATGGAAATTCTATTTTTAACATTTTTAGAAACC